AGCAATGGAATGTCTAACTGGTTTGCTAGGATTATTTCTGTAATGGAAGTTTCTAATTATGCTTTTTAAATAATTTTAAAAAAACTAAAAATAAAGGTTACAAGCTGCCAAATCTTTTTTCGAGGCTCTGTTTCCTCTGCTGTCCAGCATCTGGAGGTGGAGGGTGGCAAGCCAAGGGTGAGCTCTTCTGCTGTACGTAGAGGGTTTTTTTTCCTGGGAGAGGGGGTGTTGGCAAAACCACAATTAATGCTTTCAAACGTTTATTTGCTGTTCTGGTTTTTAAATGTGGATGAAAGAGTAGGCTGGAACGGGTAACCTTATTTCTGCGTGAAAGTGGGATGCTTGTGATTTTGTTAGAATCTTTTGTGTTCTACAAAAAGTGTTGGGTGAGGTTTGAAAGCTTTTCCTCGAAGGCAGCAGGGGTCAGACCCCGCGTTGATTAAAAAGCACCTGGAGCCCCTCCTTGCTCTCCCAGGCAGTGAACGTATGGTTTTCTGTATAGGAACTAGGCAGCCGTCGCTGTGCTTGTTGCCCTTCGTGTTCACCTGCCCCTGCCTGCCCTTGGCATGCAAGCGGGCTCTGGAAGGCAGGTCCTTACTGCTGGAGAGGTGTGACGAAAGCTGGCTGTGGGAAAGCACGACTGCGTAGAGGGTAATCCTGGGGACGTGTGGATGGTCTGAACTGCACCTGGCATGGGGGGGGGGGGGTTTTGTGTCTAAACTCTAGTTAAAGTTTGAATATCCCTCCATATAAAGGCCAGTAAATGACATAAATGGCTGGAAGGTGCAGAAGATTTACAAGCTCGCCCTTCTGTTTTGCGGTACAGCAGGAGATGTAAAGGCTTTGAATGTTCTTTCTGTGGGACCGTTCTCCTCTGAAGATGTGCAGGTGCTTTATGTGGCTGAATTTCTTGGGATGCTGGAGTACTAAAGATGCTGTTGGGCATTCAGATGACAATTCAAAAGGTGAGCTTGTGCTGCAGCTAGGCAAGATAAGCAGTGACTTGAAACAGTATCGTATAAATGATCTGTTTTATTCTGAAGAGAACTATTTACAAAAGAATTAGAGCATTGTTTTTACTAAAAATATGCCTTTATAGATTTTTATAATATGTATTTTATAAAAACCATACATTTATTTACATTACTGCTACATACAAAAATTACAGCACTGTGGTATATGTACATATCTATAGGTACATTCTTTCTGCTTGTCCCTGCTGTGTGCTTTTTCCCTCTCCATCCAAGGGAATCGCTGCTGCAGCACCCAGACACTTCTGTTCTTGGCTTTTTGGTTAAAACAATCTTGCTTTTTATAGCCGAGCGGGGAGTCGAGAGTTTGCCTGATGTAGAGGCATATGTGGAATTTACCATTCTAAGTAGGACAAGTGCATGCAGCTATCAAGTCCTTGTGCACACAGCACTGCCTCTAACCGCCCTTCTTGCTTCTCTGTGCAAAATGATTCTGTTGTCATTAATTGATCTGTTGTTCATCTGGAGGGCAAGTTGCTGATCTAAGTCTGTATTCAGATAAAGTGCTAGTGGCTTGCCTTTCATTTACACTTGTTTCTTGTTTACAGTTGCTTCCCTTGCAGAGTTAGTAAGGGGAGATTGATCCCTTTTCCCTTAGGCTAGCGTAATACATGTCCGCCCAAACAGTCACCGGTTACTTAACTGTGGGAAAGTTCTTTGTAACCTTCATCTCTGCAGACACCTCTTCTCTGTGCAATATTTGAACAGGGACTGTGCAGCACTACGGTTTTCTTTACCGTTATCGCAGAAGCAAGGGTGAGTGTTGTATTTAGAGCTGTTGATCCCACTCCCTAAATCTACTTTGGGATCCTGAGTACCTGCTGGATTAACATGCTTCCTGCTTCTCATTCCGTGGAGCTGATACTTCCTTTACGCCACGTGTGTCCTAGAAGTGTCACAAGTGGAGTGTCTTGTAGCCCAGCACTGCAAGGATGATTCCAGGCTCCCGGCCATGACAGGATGGAGATGAGTGTTTTAATGACAGCTCAAGGTGGAATAGTCAGGACCTCGTTAAAACACAACATGACAAATGAGAATGTGAAGGAGTGCATTGATGAGGGTTTTGAAAACGAAACCTAGCTGCTATGTTAAGGCAGTTTCTGTTCCTGTTGAGTCGCAGCTCAGCACAAGGAGGTCTCCTTTGGTGTGCCATCCAGTTTGTGAAACACAATTCTCTTGTATTTCTGGGTTTAGTAGTGCAACGAAGTCTTTAGGGTTAAGGGGCTAGTTTTAAGAAACCATACCCAACTGGTACCTTAGAACATGCTGACTTTCCTCTTGCAATCTCTTCCATTGTTGTTACTAAATAAATAAAATGGGATTAAGGTAGGTTCCTCCTAAAATGATGTGCCGTGCATTTCAATTGCCTACCTCTGCAACTGAAAGAGTCATTTTCCTCTCAGCAAACGTGTAGCAGAAGGCACCTTTCTTCCTCTCACTCCTGCATCTTCGTCCGATAACTTAAGGCCCTTGCCTTGGGATTGCATACATACGTACATACATCCTCGTGGGGTAGAGTCCCACACAGAAGAGAGTTGTTGGGGCCTGGGAAATGACAACTGACAGCAGAAAAAAGGTCTGTGAAGACCAAGACGTTCACATGGCTCTCCCACAAGAAGCGGAGCGTCCTTTTCAAACAGAGTGTAAGAGAACTGTTCGCAGGTATCGCTGGCATCCATGAACCCACGCCTAATTCTGCAGGGATCGAGGCTTACGTTAGTGCGTGTGGGTGTAACCGAGTCCTGACAGCACGAGATGCTGAGCGCGTGCCTCGCGTCTCTGCTGTACGGAGAGTCACAGCATAGGTAAGACGGGAGGATGAGGACTTGCCATCCTGAGAGCGTGCTTGGCACTGCACTTGGTCCCTTTCCCTCACTCGCACAAGTGGATACAAGCAGATACTCAAGAGCTGAGCATTGCCTAGGACGGAGAGGCCAAGGTTTCATTCCCTTCCCTGCCTGTGAGGCTCCCTTCCCAGTAAGCATCGAGCTGTACTGGTGGTCCTTTACCGAAGTATTTCCCGGAGCGGGATGTGCAATCCAGGTTTCATTGCTTTCAAGTAAATGGGTTTTATCACCCAGCTTTTTACCATCATTTCCAACCCCAAGGAGTACTCTGCTCCTTGCAACATGGAGCTACCTCAGTGCAAGATGATTTCATACCAGTGTGGTAGTTTCATGCTAACAAGGAAATGTGGGAATGCTCAAATCTTTGTAGGCAGAAAGGGTATTTGTACTGAGGTATTATGGATGTCCTATTCCATAGGTAAGTTGAATAACAATAAAAAAACCCAAGCCACCAACTTCTTACCTGCTTCTTAGAAGGTGTTTGATACCTAATTCTAGCAGAAAGCTTGTTGCTGTAAATAGCTAGCAGAGATAGCAGCTCCCTGTAGGATGGTGTTTTAGCACCTAAGTTGCTGAGCAGGGCAGAGCTGACTGCGTACCTAGCTCTGTCTCCTGTGGGACAATGTGGGTGGTAGCCTCTCTAAAGCAACGGCGAACAAATTGGGGCCTGTGGCTATCGTGAGCTGGGAATAGGTGTAAAAATTGCATGACAGCAGCAGGACACCTCTGAACTTAGGCTGACATTCCTTGCTGGTTTATGATGGTAGACTGTGTTAAAGAGAAAAGCTGTAAGGTGCCCATCCAGTGTGTAGGTGCATACACCAAGTAAGCTACGTTCCTTCTTGTTGATCAAGTCATGCTTATGGCAAAGCAGGCTCTGATTGTCTTCAGCCAAAAGGAGATGGGGCTACCAGCTCGCCCAAGGGCCGAGTAGTAAACGACCCGCAGGCAGGGACAAATAAATACTCCTTATTTTTGTCAGGCCACAGCTAATGTTACTGTGCGGGGCAGAGTAAGCTGCGGGCTTTCCAAAGCTTTGTAGACACCCTGTTCGCCTTTGGCTTTAGTGAAGGTAGATGCCTGCGTGCTTTCTGAGGAGCAAGTCAGCCAAGCCAGTGTCACAGACCTACTGACATCATTATGGGTAGGCTTTCAGTGAATTGTTAGTGAGGGTTTTTGGAGGCCTATCCAGCTAAAACGATGGGTTTCTTACTCTGGGAGGTGTACATGGCTTTGGGGAAAGGTGTGTGACTTGCTGAAACTCCACAACTACCTTTGGCCATTGGAGGGACCCAGGACTGAACATCCACAAGTTTTATGCAGTTTGGAATCCATTGTAGATGGTCAGTCTCTTGGGGAGAAATCGTTAACGTTCTGTGTAACTACGGGCTCTGCACCTCTTCTCTCTGTAACAGGAGGGAGCTAGAGGCGACAGGAACATCAGCAATCTTCCGACCGCCCGGGTCTGCGCGGAGCCTGGGTCCCCAGCGAGGGGTGAACAGCTACGCAGAGCTGCAGGGCAGATGGCGCCCGGGCAGGATCCGCAGCCAGGGCTCGACTTCCACCGCGGGGAAAGCTACGCTTGCCAAAACAAATCAGTGCCGGGGCCAGAGCGACTCCAGCCTCGGTGGGGTGGATGAAGGGTGTCACAGCTGCCAGGACCGGAGGGCGGTACGAGTGACTCCCCTCTCTTTCGCATGCAGCCCTCTTCTTCCCACTGTGCTTGCTGTGACGGCAGTCCTCCATCCCCTGCGCTGCTTTGTCTTGGGGCTGCTCATTTCCTTCTCCAGCATGAGAATGCTTTTAAGACAATCAGATTATTCTTCACAGCAGAAACTGGACTGTGTCAAAGCGCCTAAAATATACCCTGAAGTTTATCACTTCAAGAATAAGGAAAGTTTCTTTCTATTAGTATCACATCGTCAATTTGCAAATCTCCAATTCGTGTAAACATTTGGTTCAGACCAGGTGCAGTGTAAATAGTGCAGAGTCTCAAGGGTTAACTCCTTTGCCCCCTTCTTTTTCTCTTAGTGGATCAGAGCTGGGTCCATCAGCAAGCTGGGGAGCTGCCCCACTCCCCATCTTGAAGCGGGAATTGTTGGAGAGGTTTCTCTTTTTCAGGTTAATTTTTCTTGAAAAAGGAAAAGAGCCGGTTCACTTCTGCCCCGCCGGGCTCGCCCCCCTGCTGATCCGGCCTGAACCCGGGGGAGGGTCTGGCACCCCGCTTGGCACTGGAGCCACTGGAGAAGGAATAAGCAAGCTGGCTCCATTCCTTCGGGTGTTTGTCCATCAGCTGCTGGTCGATGACCCTGTGCATGTCGTCCTGCAGCAGAGCGAGAGGAGAGGGGCGTCAGTGGCAGGCGCGGCTCGAAGGGAGCTGCTGTGGGGACACGGCTGAAATGGGCGTGAAACGCGCTGCGATGAGATGGAGAGGCGATGATAAGAGTGGGGACAGGTCTAGCTCCCCACGTGGCAGCAGGCTCAGCCTTGCTTGCCGCCGTGAGGCTTCTCAGCGAGTGAGGAAGGTAAACCACATAATTTGGAGGGATAAATTGCTCAAGGGGGACTCACAGAGGAGCAGCGCACCTGCTTGGGACTCTGTGACACCCCTAAACTGTGTTTCTCTGCTGTCTGCAGCTTGCAGATGTCCCTTCTGGGAGGAGGGGGAAATAAATATAAAAGAACAAATGCAGCTGACAGCAAATGCCAGAAAAAGTATGGATGGTGCCTGTCCCGAGCAGGTCTCTGTGCTTGCCAAGTGGAGCAGGCAGGTAGGCGTCACGGAGCTGCCTGCACAGCCGCCGTCAGTGGGGCTTACTGGGAAGGGGCTGCGGGGAGCCGAGGGGCTGGGGCCAGGCGTGGGCCCACCAGACCCCACCGGGGTTGTGCACCAGACTTACCAAAGAGAACCGCACTCGTCCCCGAGACCCGCTCCTTCCCCTGGTGCCAGCAGAGCGGAGGGAGCTTGCTGACTGACAGCTTGGCACGAACGACTGCACTATGGTTTTTCAGAGGTACCAGAAACGCTCTGGTTCAGTCTGTGTTTGCAGCACAGTGAAATTGCTCTACATAAAATAATGCCAATTCTGTTGCCGCTAATGATGTGCTAACGTGTTTCTTGAAAACCTGGCTATCAAGTCTACAAACCTTGAACCTTCAGATCCATTATTTCTGCTATAGTTGCACATTGAAACTGTACCTTAGTGAAAACATGTGTACACAAGCTAGCCCCCCAGGAGAAACCAGCTGTTCTCCAGCGGTGTGGTGCCTGATGAGGACTGAGGGCACTATCTGGCGAGAACAGGGATGCGCTGGATGGGCTGCAGTGGTGGAAGCGCTGTTCGTTTGGCACCTCGTGCAGGGCAGCCCATCAGCGCAGCGCTGAGACGGAAGGGAAGGTGCTCTGTAACTCGATGGGGAAGAAAACCAGCCAACTTGGACTGGAAACAGTGATGGCTAACCTCTTATTGTAGTGTTTTCTGCAGGAAAAAGGATTGATAGCCATGGCCTGGACCTGAATTTAGTATGGGGACTTTCCCCGGGGAGCAGGAGGGTGCAGAGCTACATGGACTGGGGAAGCTTGGGATCCTTTTAGAGCAGGGCTGAAAAGGGGGAAAGGCAGAGGGAGAGCTGAAGAGGTTAAGGTTAACATCAGCGTTAAGGTGAAACAGGTTTTCAGAGGTGGAGCTGCCACGTGAAAATGTATAGCGCTTGGATTTTGAAGGCACCTCTTCTGGCAAATGAAGTGGGCACCCAGGCTCCAGCATGGCAGATCTGTGTCCTTGGTTAACCAAGTAACAAGGGATGAGTATGATTTTTATATATATATATATGCACACAAATATGTCGCCTTCGTTGGCGTGGCGATCTGGGGCAAGGTGCACATCCACTCCTGTGCTGCGCCTGGGCCAGGCTCGGCTGTGTGGGGTTTTGCTTGCTATTATTTCATAGCCTGTATGACTATGGGCTTACAGAAAACCGTAACCTTGTTGAGGGTCCTTGGTAAAGCACAGACTAGAAATGTGCAAGAACAAAATTTTATCAGATTAAAGCCTCCATTTATGCCCAGCTGAAGCAGTGAATCTCATCCCGTTTTATCAGAAACATTCAGCTTTGCAAAATCGTCCCCAAAATACATAAATCACCTGACTTGTTTTGTGCTTCTGTTCTGGGGACATCAGGTGCTTGGAAACTATTTTGCTACCGTGTCGTAACACTTCGGGTCAGTATATTGGAAACAACTTTCTGCAGTGCTCGTGGGCCTGATCCTCATCTCGGAGAGCTGACGGGACCAGGATTGGGGTTGCTGTGTTGCTGCAATCAGATGACATAGTGTGGAGTGACAAAGCAAATGTCTGTTGCTAAATCCCTGAGCTGGGGATATTCCGGCACCAAATACAGCCTGTGCTAGTAACTAGGTCTCAGTTTATGCCACCCATCCAAACTGAGCTCCTATGCAGAGCACTGAATGTTGCTTACCAGCTAACAAGGCTGAGAAGTAAAATCCCAGTCTGTATTTCAAGAATTTTTCCAGATATTAGATATGTCAAATACAGAAAATTAATGATATGTGTGCCTCAGCCTGGCGTTCCCTGTCGGGACACCCTGTGTGGGATGCAGGATGCTGCCCCTTTTGTGCCCTGGCCCAGTGCTGGGGACGGGGGGGGGCGGGGGTGTTTGTGCAGAATATTGGTGGGGGATGGAGCCCCCCCACTGGCCCCTCTTGCCAGATGACGGTGAGGACAGAGACGGATGATGGTGGCAGCGAATGGAGCAGGTGAGGGGATGGTGGGTGCTTGGCGAGGCCGCGGGGAGCTCACCTCAAAGGCAGGAGGGGTGTACGACTAAAGCTGTTGGTACAGGAACTGAGAAAGGCCACTAGATCAGAAACCAAAGGAGCCAGATAGTAAAAAGCCCTGAGGAAGCAAACTGTAAGCAGGAGAAAGAAAAGAAAGAGAAAAAAAAAGAGAAACGAAAACACAGTGGAGTTGAAACAGGAGCGAGGTTGTATGGGAAAGGTTTCTACCGGTCAGGCTGGTTGCTAGAAGAGTTGGGGTCTTGCAGGGTCTGCAACAAATTGCTATAACTGGCCCGGACCTTTTCTCTTGCATCTGCCTGTTTTCTATTAAAGTAGCCCTCCTTTCGTGCTAGTTTCTGGGAGGAGACAGCTTTGTCAGCTCTCTGCTTTTACCTGGGTTTTCCCCACTGACCCCAAGCCGAGCATCTTCAGGGCGGCTGCTGAGCTGCCATGGGGTTGGGTTTCTTTACCTTGGTGGAGAGCTGGGATTTTTAGGGTCTCCATCTTGCCAGATCTTCTGTCTCGATGAAAACAGTGCAGCTACACTGTGAAACAATCGCCACAGCCTCTCTGCCTCCCACCTCTCTGCTCCGTTATGGAGATGCCAGGACATGCTGCGCCCACACGTCCCCAAGGCTGTGCCTGCCCAGGGACATCTCCTGCGTGGACGCCTTCCCTTCCCGGGCTGCAGCAGGTCACTTTGCAAAGCGTATGTTACCCGTGCCACACGCAGCCGTGAGACACCGTTTGCTTCTCCGTTTTAAATGGGTATTTCTGTATCACAGATGAACAGCTCACAGCGGAAAGGCTTTGAGCAGGGGAGGGCTGGGTTTCACCCCCCCCGAGCACCACCGCACCACTGGCTCCTGCAGAGCTGGAAGCAAACGCTCCTATCTAAGGACGCTCGGGCTGAGAACGCAGCAAACCCACGGGGAGCGGGGGGAAGTCACCCAAAGGTGCCACGTTGCACCCAGCCCCTGCCCCGCGGTGACGAGGGGCTGCTCACCTGCCAGGCCTCCAGCTGCTGCGAGAGGTTCACCTTCTGCTGGATGGCGTCCAGCAGCTGGCTGTTGAGGGACATCATGTCGATCCTGCACTTGGCCAGCTCCACCTCCACTGCGTTCTTCCTGGGGGGAGAGCGAGAAACTGGTGCATGGGACTTTTACCATTTTTATTTTTTTTTTTATAAAGGAAGTGTTCAACATATCCTTGATGAGAAGTCAACAATTTCTTTCGCTGGCAAGTTCGCAAATCCCAAGCTGTTCATCTCCGTTGTATTCTGGACAAGCTATTCCTCTTCAGAGTGGAACAGAACTGTAGACATCGTTACTATATAAACCAGCAGATTTCTGGTAAGCACACTATGAAGGATAGGAAAAGATCTTCAGATACGCTGCTGTGTAAGGTAATACAGTGTGCCTGGATAACGTGCACGATCTGGCATTAAAATGGAGATGTAAAATGAGGTAGAATCGACATATAAATAATTTTTCCTTTTCTTCTGTTAACTAATGCATAGGAAAGGAAATGGTACATACTAAAAATAATCTGTATTTGATCACCTGATCAATAAATTGCAATAGAAAGCAAACAAAAAAAACCCCTCAACAAGTACAACTGCTCTCAGGTGGGACTTGGACTGCAGGAAGGATGAGACGAAGCAGGGAGGTTTATCACATCATATGCTTTTTAAGAATGACAAACTGATAAAATTGTCCGAGTTAAATGTTACGCTTTAAGGAAAGCTCCCAGTTTCAACGGGGTTGTGCCAGCCCTTGGGAACACCGCTGCTGTGCTTTCCAGGCATCTGGTGGCACATAAAGCCGTGGCCAAGGTTGGCCCAAGGGCCCTGAGCGCTCAGTGGCTGAGATGTTCCAGCTGCTCCTGGCTAGCGGCAAGGCATTGTGCTCTGGGAAGGAGCCATTTCCGAAGCTGCCCAAGCTGGGAAATGCTGCTCACCATGCTGGCAGCACACAGGTGAGCCCAAACCCTGCGTTTTCAATTAACTGCTGCATGATGGGAAACTGTAACAGGACTTGCTAGGAACCACCTTTCCTTGCAAACATTTTCAGGAGAAATAATTGCATCTTATTAACTGTAGCTAATTCATAGGCTCCTAATAGCTCCCTTGTGCTCCCCTGCAGAAGAGCAATTTGGGAATTTGTGTTTATATTCCAGGTAGCGGTTGCTGAACGCCTCCTATGATAGGATCCTATTTTCCTATTGCTTCCCATGTTACCAAACTTCAGCTTCAAGCTAAAAATTTTCCATGCCAGATGTCTGCCTCAGGCGGTGATTTTCTTTCTTTTCAGAGTTAGGGCTTTTTTTCTGGGGGGGAGGGCTTCAACAAAAGTGACTTAACCCTTGAGGTGTGAGGTGGGAAGCGTCTCGCGAGCCTCCCAGGTGGCTCGCTGCCTGGGAGCTGCCCGCTCGGTCTGTGGAGGGATGCTTTCATTTCTAGCAACAAGATGCTCTCGTCTGCTTCCACTCGCAGCCACTTTCTGCTCATTAATCACCCTCCACTCACCCATGCACACTCCTCACGTCCCCCTTTCTCTGGGCTCCTGCTGCTGCAGGACAGTCAGCTGTAAATATTAGTGCTTTGTCCCAGCGGGGTCATTAGCTTCCGTGGAGAAGCTGTACCCTTCCACTCCGGCTGTGGGTTGGAGCACTTTAAATAGCCTTTTGTTGTGAAGCTCCCCATTGCTGCTTGGATATTACTGGGGGATTTATCGTGGCGGCAGCGCGTTGCCATAGCCACAGCAGAACCAGCAACCCACACGCACTGGAAATGTCAGAACCACCTCTGCTGCATCCAGCAGTGCAGCTGGGATGCTCCTGATTTTTGCCAACAGATGGAGGTGTTACAGAGGACAGCGATGGGAATTTGGTAGCTGGTTACCTGAGCGAGAGCAGCACCAATTGGGTCACTTAAAAAAAGATGAAGGGGCTGTGCGTGCTGATTTAGCTCTCTACATCCTCAGAGGTGCAATGCTCTCATGCTCCTTCTCTCACCAAGGGCTTGAGTATTAGGCATTTCCATAAGGAGATGGGCTGGTGGTGTCCTGGCCCGTCCGCTTATTGCGGAGCTTATCAGATATATCCTTTCTACCTAAAGCACAGAGGGGTGAATGTTTCTGGCCCTCCTCCTCGGGACCAAGAGTGCTCGGGGCAGCATGGCAAGCCCAAGCACAGAGCTGGGGAAGGGGCAGGTCTGCAAGGAGGATGGGGAGAATAAAGAGTTAAGAGAGTGGGAGAATCCTGAAAAGAGAAATTGAGAATTACAGGACTGGAGATGCAAAAAAGACCCTGGAACAGGAAAGGAGAGCGAGTGACCAGAGAAATTATTTCGGGCAGGTGCCCAAGCAGGCTTGTAATGGGGATGGGCAGGACAGCAGGGTTGTGTGTCTGGAAGAGCAAAAGAAGAATATGACAAATAGGGCAGATCTAGTGTTGTCTTCGGTTCCCTCAAGTCCTATCCTCGTTGCTGTGACTCAGACCAGTGCTAGGGATGGCAAAAACACGGTTCACAGCATCCTCCTAAATGCCCCCAATCCTGCCATGGGGCATCTCTGGAAATCGGCACCTCCTGCTCTGCTCCCAAGCTCCTGGCGGCATTTCCCAACGCCAGCAAAGCCGAGACTCACTCCAGCACTTTGTAACAGCTACTGAAATCCATGGAGGGTGGGCAAAACCCACCCTGGAGGCATCTTCTGCTAAGGCACTCCGTGACTGCTAGCTCAGCCCAGTTTGGCTGTTTGTACCACTTACTTGGCAATGGCCTCGTCGCGGTCCCTGATGGCCTGCAGGAGCCGTTCGCTTGTCTCCTTGTCTTCAGCAGCACCTCGCAGCCGGTCCCGCTCCTCCTTCAGCGTCGTCATTTCCACGCTCAGCAGCGTGACCTGTGGGCAGAGGGAAGGCGTGAAACCCAGGGTTGCTCAGACAAATTCACCACGAGTAGGGGGGAAAAAAAGAGCCACGGGGGCCAACCTGGAGGCTGAGCTCCCCTGCTCGTAGGAGAAGCTCTGTCTGCTGGGAGGGGGCTGTTCGTGCTGGTGCAGCCCCCTGTGAAACGTGCTGGCTCACCTTGGGGTGCCGACAGTGCCGGTCTGAGCAAGTGAGTCACCAGGCTGGGGTCAGTGACATGCAGCAGCAGCATGGAGAGTTGTGCAGCTGCGTGGGGCAGGACCCGCCTGCGGCTTCGCTATCCCAATGGCTTTAAACCCACTGTGGCATCAGTGCTGAAATATTGCCCCTCTCCAAGCAGTTTCTCGGGCTTGCATCCTCTGTGTCTGTCTTGTATTTCGATCTTTCCAGGGTTAAATTATTGCAAACATCATCTAACAGCAAATAAGTTCTTTTGGGGGAGGGCTGTTACGTCTCTTGAAGTACTATCAGGCTGAAGACAAAGGATGTGAAAATTCCTTTGCACGCCATGGAAGGTGTTACTGGCACATCTTTCAATTTTAATTAGACTTTAAAATACATGTGGAGTCTTAAATAGTCTGAGAAATGATCTGTCGTTTCGGTCCTGTGCAGAGTGAGTTAATAGGGTGTGAAATCATGCAAGAACTGTATTAGCACAGCTTTGCAATATTTCATACACATTTAATTACTTTGTCTAGGGCACACACATGCTCTGTTACATTGCTCCACCACCTGGAAACCCCTCCAGCGTTCGACCCACCTCCTTTCTCTAAATGCAGCTCAGTAGTGCTTGAATAAATCTTTAAATAGAGGGCAGACAGTCAAAAAGGGCTCAGCACACCAACGGCTGGGAGGATCTGCTGTCACCGCGGCGTGGCTGGGGGGGGGGGAGGAGGGCGCGAACGCGCCCTGTCCCTGTGCAGAGGCTCCTCGCCATGTGCTGGGGCTGCCAGGGAATCGAGGAGCTCTGCCCGAGCTGTGCCCTCGCGCAGCCCAGCACGGGATGCACCTCAGAGCGGGGACGTGACGGAGAGCAGCGCCGGGAGCTATGTGCAAGGCGTTGAGCACTTCTGCTGAAATGCCAGGGGACAGCGGATCAAGAGGCCCCAGAAAACTGTGTTTGGGGACAGGCTTGGGATTTTAACTGGTTTTGTCTGTGTTGCAGGTAAGAATGGGATGCCACCGAGGGAGGAAACGGACGAGGCAGAATGTGTGAAACCAGTTCGGTAGCCAGACGCAGGGGCGATTCCTGTCTCCCCCAGCTCACCTCGCTCTCAGGCAGGAGCAATGAAGGTGTGTGGTGCTACGATGTCCCAAGAGGCGTTTCGGAGGAGTTCCGCTTTGACTGTACCAACACCAGTGACAGCACAGAGGGACGCGGAGGCAGCGAAGCACTGCGACCCTGGGTGGATGAGATTTCCGTGTGCATTGATTCTCTTTAGTACTGAACTGCAGACAATGTCGTCTCTTCTATGGGAGCTGAGAATAATTATTAACCTTGGCATGTGCGAGGCTGGGTTATGGGCAAAAGCTGCGGGAGACGTGTACTTGCTGTGTGAGGCTGGAGTGCTTCTCCAGGAACAATGTTGGCTCCATTTGTATTTGTACCCCATCTTTCTCCACGTAACACAGAGATGTGAGAAGGAAGTAGCACTGCAGTCTTCCCTTTACTCCCTAAATATTCAGAGCTTTGGTAGTCAGAGACCCCTAAAAGCAGAGATGGGGGTCCAGACTTGCGTTCCAGGGTGGGTCACAGAATCACAGAACCACAGCATGGTCGAGGCTGGAAGGGCCCTCTGTGGGTCACCCAGTCCAACCTCCTCCTGGGCAGCCTGGGCCAGGGCTCCGTCACCCTCAGAGGGAAGAAGTTCTTCCTCATGTTCAGCTGGAACTTCCTCTGCTTCAGTTTGTGCCCGTTGCCCCTTGTCCTGTCGCTGGGCACCACTGAAAAGAGTCTGGCCCCGTCCTCCTGACACCGACCCTGCAGACATTTATAAGCATTTCTAAGGTCGCCTCTCAGCCTTCTCTTCTCCAGGCTGAACAAGCCCAGTTCCCTCAGCCTTTCATCATAGGAGAGATGCTCCAGTCCCCTCATCATCCTCGTAGCCTTAGTCCTCTGGTCCTTCCTGGCTGGGGAGTTTGGGGAGACCAGCCACAGCAGAGAACAGCCGAGTGCTGCTCGCTCCTGCTGTCCTGTCACCGACACGTGTAAGGAGGTGCTGCATCCAGACAAGCAGACTGGTGTGCAGATGGTCGCTCCAGATCTGTGAATACGTCTCTGATGGTCTCTGTCAGCACAGCCAAGTCGCAGTGATCAAGTCCTTGTCTCCTCCCTCTCAGGTGTGTTTAAGGTTGGAGAGGCCTGTGGGTGGTGTGCAGGACTACGGCAACACAGCCAGAGGAGCTTCTGGGCTCATGTCTCACTGGGCACAGGAGTTTGGACCCTCAAAATTGTCTCTTATGGTGGCCGCATCGCTGAGATGAGCAGTTTTCAGGGAAAGATGGGTGCCAGGGCTGCTCCCTCACTGCAGTCTGCCTCTAAGCAGCGGCTTTGCCAGCAGGACTATTTCCCACACTTGCACACATGCAGCCATCGCTGCCACAGGTGTTTAATGATGGTCTCATTCTTTTTTCTTTGTCCCCATGGTGGGAGCTCCCATAGCCCTACATGTCTGCCAGACCCCATGTTGTCCTGATTTTCTGAACAGGGGTGTGTTTTCTTTTCTCTTCTCCAAAAGGGTACGGCGAAAGGGTGATACAGCACCACTGGCAAGACCAGCCAAGGGCCTTCATCCCACTCCCTGCTCCAACGTCGTTGACGCTGCTCAACCAGCTGCGCCAAAGGCTGCTTCTGCTGCAGCCTCCAGATCCTTTCCAGTGTTTGGAGACTTTTCCTATAGAGAGAGGGACTGCAGAGCATCTCATTGGCTACCTGACTCCATTTCTTGCTTTTGGGATAGGACCTCAGACACAGATGATGCCACATTCAGTGTGGATGCAGTGTGAGGCTGTGCTTTGGGTGTGGTGCTGGTTTCTGGGTTGGATCATTTGCTGCTGTTGAGATATTCTTCACCTTAGCTGGTCCCTGCTGGCCCTGGGGTGCTGCCTGGTGCCAGTCTGGCCATGATTAAGATTCTCTGGGTGTGCATTTATGAGGGTTTTGTGATGCTGCTGTGGAAGCGGGCGAGCCTTGTGCCATGCAGAGCAGAGCAGCACTGTTCTGTCCATCCAGCAGCTGCCTGTACCCTTTATAAGGGCGTCGGGCAAGCAAGGCGGATCAGACTGGATACCTACGGGTTTCCAGTACCCCATATCAAGCAGCCTTGTACTTTGGGGTCTTCTGCTGAGAAGAATTTGAGTGAGACAGGTTGGCTGAAAAGCAGATTGGGGGAAAGGTTTAAAGGAAGTTTGGCTGCTTGAGACGATGTTGGGGATGGGCCCCAGACAACTTGTCAAAAACTCTGATCCTAAACGCATGAAGCCTCTGCAATGGGTTTAACAGAGCCTCCCTCATCCAACCGTAACTGGTTTTGGCCCCAATCCTCCTGGGTTGTTTATCATGTTGATGTCTTCTATGGAAGGCATGTCTTGGAAGACGAACACTGACGTTACAAGACCAATTGTAAAGTGTGGGAATTGCTAACCTGGCTGTGCAGTCGCTGCAGCTCCTCCAAACTCTGCCTCAGTTTCCCCCGTTCTCCATCCATTAACTCTCTCAGGGCTCGTGAATCCTCGCTTGTTCGCCTGATCTGTTCCTCTAAGGTGTCATCATCACTTCGTCGAGAGCTCTGAGGGTGGGAGAGAAATCTCTTCCTCAGATTTCAGTTTAAAAAAGGCAATTGCATTAATTTGATACTGGTTTAGGATAGGGGGTTAAAACAAGGAAGATGAAAGTGTGAATGTGACTTTGGTAGAGTTTCAGTTTAGTTCCCATGTACCTCCACAGTGAAAATTTGTTCAGCCAAGGGTAGTGCTTCTACACACGATAAAAAGAGCATGCAGACATGTTCTCACCTTAGCATAAACCAAATTTAGAGACCTATTGACCATGTGGTAACATAAGACTACAGTGTCTGTGTTTGTAGACCTTTTGCAGGACTCCGTTTTTTATTTAACAAACACAGCTTCATCTCTGTGCTCAGCCTTCTCACCAGCTGCTACAAGTGCTGAAACGAAGAGAGTGAGTACTCCTGTGCAGTCTGCAGTTGCAGGGTCTGCACTGTCTTCCTCACCATGGCATCTCAAATAAGTCATACTGGCAATGCAACCAGCCTGTGGGCGATGGAAATAGGCCTGGTTTGAACCATTACAAAAAGGGCCGTGTTTTCTCGTAATTCTGCGCTCCTGTGGCTGCTGAGTGGTCCTCTGTGCCATCCCGTCCTCCCCAGCAGCCCCGGGGCCGTACCTCACAGACACTATTGTGCGTCAGCAAAACCTTTAACCTGTCAGTGGATTGAAGTCTGGTAGCTCTTGCCAAGACATCTGCACGCAGTGCCAATCTGCAGGGGCAGAACCTACCCACATAGGGGTTACAAAGCTTTTGTGGTACTATTGCTAATAAAACAAGGTTAGGAAAATCCTAAGAGAAATAACTGAACTGTGATGTGTAGGATAATCTTCAGTATTTCCATGTGGAAACTCTAACTTACTGCAAATCTCAAAGAAAGCCTACTTTCACTAATTTTCCAGAATGATTCCCAGACCAACGATGGTTGCATGAGCTTGAGGCTTCTGGTGGTCTGACCACTGCAAGTGAAACGCCATGTGCTGGCTTGGCTCTTGGCTGACCGCTTGAGACACGTGGAGCAGGCTTTGCACTGTGACTGCCCATCTCTGTGGGCCACAGAGGTTTTTGCAGAGACTGGGGACTTCAGCATCCAGCAGGAACCTGCAGCAAGCTCTGTCACCTGGGCAAGAGGACATGCACAAACCACAGTCTCCCTGTGCCACCAACTTACTGTGGAGTCTGCCCCATCCAGCACGTTTTGTATCAGTCTTTTCAGCTCACTGAGAGCTGCCCGTAGGCTGCCGGCTGGGACATCTTTGGCTGATGAGGTTTCTGAAGACTCATCCATGGAGGAGTCTGTAGAGACTGCTGAGTCTGCGCTGTCGTTTCCTCTGAGATGGGAGCAGAGATATCGCACTTGGCAATACGCTTCCCAGAGCTGCAGCCTCAGCTGGAACGAAAGAGCCTGACATTAGCCTGGGACATCAAGGCCATGGAGATCTTTCTTCCACAGTGAAGTGAGGCTTGTGATTGCCCAACCTCAGAAATATTTGTCTAGCTTGGTTTTGAAATGGATGCAGAGATTTACTTTCCTGTGGTCAAAAGGGTGTTGATACCAGAGCTGGGACCACAATCTGTTTCTATCTCTTAGTTCAGCTCCAAATCCAGATGAAATGCATGAAACTCCCCCTCCCTCTGGGGCTGGTCACAGAGGTCTGTGGGCTTTCCCAGGGGCTGGAGGGCAAATACCTGTTCTCGTTCTTGTTCCAGCTCCTCTGCCTCCATGCTCTGCTCTATCTCAGATAGTAGGGACGTGCTGGTTGTGTTGATATTTTGGAGACTTCTCTCCTCACTGAGCTCTTCTACCTTCCCCTGCAGCTGCCGGTAGGACAGACGCACCTCCTGGAGCTCCAGCTGGCTTTGGTGCAGCTTGCAAAGAAAACCAAGGAATTTGTCAAGGAAGCAGGGAAAATAAAAATTTGGGGAGGTGATATGGACTGGATGAATCTTTCGGTTTGTGAAAGAGCTGAAAGGGAGGAATGGGTGTCACAAAAGAGGGTTTTCAGCCAGGAGGAAAGTACTCCTGGATGGCATTGCTATTTATTGGAGCTTAACAATCTCCAAATGTCATTACCCACGGTATGGACTCCAGAATATCCTGAAAGACAAAAACAGCAGGTTAATCAGCACTAAAATGAGGAACATTGTGAAGAAGTTGGGACTCAGGTAAAAAAAATTTCTGAAAACAACACAGCAGGAAGTGAATCCAAAAAGAAAAGTAATAAAGACAGAGAGAGAGAAAGATTCAGGTTGTCAATCCAGCGGTTGTCAACCCGCAGAAGAGAAAATGAAAAAATCTTACTCTCCACTAAGACGCCTGAAGCCAGAGAGGTGCCAGCTTGTTCTCCAGGGAGTGACATTTCGTGACACACTGGGAAACCATCTGAGCTATGAGGTCAGCTACCACCCTCTGGGACAGCGGGGTCTAAATAAGCTCCTTTTGAAGCCAGTTCTACTATTAAAAAATTCAGTAAAATGAACTGCAGCCAGAGTTCTCTGCTTCTTTTTGCATTCACCTCTTTTCCCAGAACCCTGTCCTACTCCTGTGCTCAGATCTCCATCCCAAGCTGCTCTTTGCTGTCTAGATGTCCCATTGCGGCTCCTGTTACCTGTCCCTGTGGGGAACATCCAGGACCTTGCTTGTTGCCGTGCTTACATGAGCTATTTTATTCTTCCAGTTGTTTTGTCTCCCAGTTCCTGATTATCTTCCTGGTCAATTTTACCCCAGACCACATCTTCTACTCCATTTCCCCCTCTTCCCTGTCCCGTCGCTGCCTCCTCACCTGCAGGTCCTTGTCATGGCTTTGTCTCTCCAGGATGAGGACTCGGTCCTGCAGCTCCTCCACGGTTCCCTGGAGCAGGTCGTTCTCCTCCATCACGGCACTAAGGCGATGCTCCAGCTCCCGCTTTCTGTCCGTCAGCATTTTGATCTGCGGAGGAAAGAGAAGTGGTGTTGGACTTCTCACTTTCCAGGGAGCAGAGAGGAGGGAAATCACGTTCCCAAGCGACAAACGAAACAGCAGAAAGCAGAAGTATGCACTGTCTTCAAAAGTATGCACCAAGTCTTCTGTACCTGTATGAAAGAAAGTGTATCTCTGTGCGCGGTTTAAAGCTTAGGAAGGCTCTGAAAGGAAAATGCTCGTTCCCCAGGCTGCAGGGGCAGCTCCAAAGGGGCTGGGTGTGCCTTGGCAGGAGGCTGGGGAGCAGGCAGAAACGTCCACAAGGATTAAAAGGCGAGCAGCCCTACCCACCCCTTGCGCCTTAAAATTTGCAAGACTGGACGAAATTAGTTACTTCTCCTGGCCGGTCCCTGGCTGAGCATGGCAGCATTTTCTCCAGTACGGGTGCTGGAGACCACGGGGTGAGCCCACGGGATCCTCCTCCCCGCAGGGCTGTGCCACAGCTCTGCCCATATGCTCCTCTTAATTCCTGCATCTTCACCAGGTCCTCACCAGGGATTTTTCTGCCTTTTTACTTGTGAAGACTCCTTTCTGTGCCATGCTTATTTTTAGTCTCCCCGCAATCAGTTGCCTTTAAAATTGGTTCATTTCTTTTAATTGTCAAGGGCGGTAATTTCAGGTGAAGAGGGACAATGTGCCAAGCAAAAACCTCTGTGATTCAGTTAGCTGGGAACAGTGCACGGGATGAATCAGCACTACCAAGGTCACTTCTTGTTTAACGAATGAAAAGGAGCCTTTTCCCAGATTAGTACACACAGGGCCTGTGGGGACCAGGCATGCCATTTACCAGTCCAGTAGAACTCTAAATATTCCCTGGGGCCTCCTTTCAGTTGATGGACCAGAGAAAATTTCAGCAACTTCCCACTGGTTTCTTGGCCTCTTTGGGACCTTGTCTCTGCTGCTTTCCAGGTTGCTGGAAAGATTTGGCTGCACGAAGGAATATTAGCAAAGAGTGAGGACGTGCTATTTCTACAGAGCAAAGGCTGATGTAGGTATTAGAAAGCTGCTCTTAGGTGACTAATGGTTTCTGATAGGTCCCTTCCCACCACCATCATGATTTGCGTGGGTTGGAGAAAAAGGGTGCGAGAAAAATAAGAGGTGTAACACAGAGATTGTTCAGCAGTTCATCCTTGGTATCCAAACCAGTTTTGAACACCCTGTGAGTGACCATGTAACAGAAAAACATCGCCCTGCCGTGGGCCATGGGAAAAGCTCAGGGGGAAAGGGATTTGGAAAGCAAGAGACAGAAAGGAGGCGAGGAGGCAACGTGGGGCATGCACAGTGACAGGCATGCATGATGACAGCAATGCACATGCGGGCAAACCCTTTCTGAGCCTCCATACTTACTTCAAGGACCTGCTGCTCCGCACCAAGGGGGAGGGAAGAAAAGGGGACCATCAGGGAGCAGGAGGGAGCAGGAGAAAAGAAGAAATTGAGAGATTTTTAGGAAAAGGTCTTCTAGGCAGCTTATAAATAATGAAAAAAAAAATGGTGGGGTAGTAGCGTTGAACATCTACCCCTCTAGTTCCTGCCTCCTGCTAATGTATCAGAGCTAAAACAGGCAGGGGCTCCTTGCTTTCCCAATTGCGTGGCTCAGAGGCAGGAGAGGATTGATGCTTTCTTTGCAAGCATGTGAAACAGAAAAAAAAGCTCCCTTGCAGACCTTCCCACCATACCCCTGAGTTTAGTCTGTACTGGGCAGCAGCCCTGCAAGAGCGCAGCCATGGTTTAGCTCCTGGAAGATCCTGCTCATCCATTTATTTTGCAGGTGCGCTTGTGGCTAAGGTAGCAGTGGAAGCTGGCCCATGCCACCCCGCCCAACCCTGGGCTGCAGCAAAAATCCTTGCTGGGGAGTCCTTTGCCCCACAACCACCATCTTTCTCTTTGCTCCAAGCAGCAGGTTTTGTTTACTCCTTTCAGAGGGGTTCGTTATGCAAGTTAAAAACAGCCCTGGCCACCCTGGGAAGGAGCAAGGCTGAGCGCAGGGGACTCACCTCAGCCTGGAGGCTCTCGAGCCGCACGATGTGTTGACTGCTGGAGGAGTTCTTCTCCCGAAAGTCCTCCCGGAGGGTGTGGACCTGCAGGGAGAGCTGCCGCTGCACCTCTGAGGCCTGCAACGAGACACCAGCTGGGGTTACCCCAGGTGGTCACCCCATAGACGGAAAGCAGTTATCTCCTCCTGCCCATGGGAAGATCGGCCCCGATATAACTTCTGCACAGGCCCTAGTTTTGGCAGAAACTTTGAAGCCTGCAGAGTCTGCGTGAGGGAAAAGCTCATCCTGGACAGACATTGAGGAGAGCAGCCATTTAGACCATGTTGATTTTTCCCTTGGGGAAGCCAAGGGGGCACAGCCTATGACTTTCTTCCATTGCAAAACAGCATGGTGACTCTTGTGCCCTACAGGAAACTCAGTTTTCCTCAAAAATAGTAGCCTAGTTGGGGTTGAGGAGGACACCAGGCCACTCACGAAGGCAGGAAGAGCCAATCTGCATAGCCCCCAGGAAACACTATCATTATACTTACACTTTCTAGACCTCTGAACATCTCTGGCACAGGTCTAAAATAGTAAGTGCTCTTTGCCTCTGATTTCTGGCTCCCGTGAGGGCCAGACGGAGAAACATCCGCTCCACATGACTGTCGGCGCAGGATCGCTGGGCTTGGCCCTCTTTCCCATTTCGAAGGAGGGATGCCCCATTTACGCGGGGTGGTTTGAGGACAGGGGAAAGGCTATTCCCACCTGCAGGATCCAGGCTGCAGACAGCGCGTATAAATGACAGCTTAGACATGTTAACTACTCTCCAGACAGCTTTATGGCTGATTTTTACATGGTGAACACACTTGTTTAGGCTTGTAAGAGAACATAAGGTTTTTTATGAGAAATCCCTAATGAGATAGCACAAATGGATGGTTTTCTATTTAATTAGCCTCCATCAGGTTTCATTACTCTTAGGCATAGACCTTCCCCTCTGGCAGATTAGCTGGAAGTGATCTCCCTCAAGAGGCAGCATTGCTGTCCTGGTTTGAGGCACAGGCAGAGCCATATGTCCAACGGCAAAGCCATCAGTGGCCACAATGCCTTAGACAGGGACATGAGGTGGGATGGAGGGATGCGGGCAAGAGGAGAAAACTCGCGTTGGGGTCAGCAGGTGTGGGCAGGTTTGGGAGTGCATCCTTGTGTCTGGCAAACGTGGGTCAGGATTTGACTCAGGGTGCTCTGGCCAACACAGAGCCCAAGGCAGCAGCTCCACCGCAGGGTGCAATGACTTTGCTCTAGCAGCTTGTGACCTAAGGACTGAGCATGCAGACCCAGCCTGAGCTGCCCACAAAAGCAACACCACCCTTTTTCAAAAATAGCCCCTTCTTTTGCACAGTCTGCAGCAAAATAATCCAAATCAGAAGCAAGAGGTAAAGGGCTGTTCCAGCTCCATCAAGTGGAGGAAACTGTGGTTGCTCCCAACACTACTTGCTTGCAGGGGCAGCAGAAGACAGAAGCACGGCGACCGAAATCAGCCAGGCTCTGACTACTGGCTTCTGGAATGAGAAATGATTTCAAACAATGAGAAATAATTTTGTCTACCAGTTGGTTTTTAGTTCCCTTCTTATCCCGGCTTAGCGTAACTTGTCTTGCCCCCTTCTTTAAAGCCTCACATCAAAGACCTTTGCGTATCGCCCTCACCTCATTTATTTAATAAAGCTTCCTTGCGCAGGCAGAGTACGCAAAATATGATAGCACAGCACTATAGGAAGGGGTTGGTTATTTTTCTTCCCTTAAGCAGCTATAGATTTCAAAGCATCCTGAGCAGCTATTAATTGATGACACTAAAGAAGATGGATGGATTGTGGTTTTTTTGAATGATTCACTTGCTTTTGTAAAGACTGCTGAAACATTTTCATGCTGAAATACTCTGCGGGAGCTATCAAGGATGAAAAAGCACCAGATGAAAAGCACCAAAGGATTTTGCCTGCAAGATGCTGACCACACTCCCAAGGAGCATAAGTGGTACCAGATGAGATGACATACCGGTATTTGATGGTTAACTGTATAACATAATTTATACGCTAGAACAAATCTATGTACAGGCAGTGTAAATGTACAACATAGCAGTAAGAAACAAGGGAGTGTTAATGGCATTGTAAAAATCCCTGGTAAGACAATATATAGCTGCTGTGGCTAGTTCTGGTCCCCATGCTCAGACTGGAGCAGGTGAAAGGATGGGCTGCAAGGGTGATCCAGATCGTGGAAAGTCTGTTATATGAAAGGAGGCTAAAAAAAGATGGCTTGTTTTATCTCTTGCAATGAATGCTGAGAGAAGACTCCCTATAAATACATCACGGATAAGCACACAGAAGGGAGAAGCGCTATTCAAGCAGCAGCACAATTTTGGCAGAAAAAAATTATATGAATAAACTGGATAAGAGTATATTGAGGCTAGGAATAGGAAGACTTCTACATTTCCAAGGAGCTGCAGTAGGATTCCTCCTCCTGAACCATTACTGTAGGAGAAATGGTGGCAAAAATTAATTTTGGGATGGAGCTGGATCACTTTATCATGCAGTTTCTTTCAGAGGGCTGCCTACGACAGAAGGGAAATGAATTGACCTCAAAGGTCCTTTCTGGTACTAGGCTGCTCGCAGGACTGTAAGGTTTGTATTCACCAGCTTTAAATCATCATCTGGAATTGATCTACTTGCTCCTCAGCTTACACACTCACACATCTCATTCCCGCAGTTACAGACCACATGGAGGGAAGAAAGGACTCACTTACTGTTAGCACATCGGGCCCTAAAGCAGACAGGGTGTTACAGTGTCACCTCAGCGTATGGCATTCACATCCTATCTCATGCAGTAGAGAAAAGTAAAAATAATACTTTCTTTAGCCTCATACAGTGCAGAATACTCTCTCTGACCAGCCGCTTAACAGAAGTAAACAGAAATGTGTTTCATGTGTTTCCCTCCACAGAAGAATGAGGAAAAGTCTTCATCCAGTTCTTCTAGATAGGGAAATGGCCGATACCTTCAGTCTCACCTTTGCAAAGGCTTGAGTTTTCCTAGACACGAGACAAAGCCTTCTGAGCTGAGCTGTGGTCATGGAAAACCCCTTTTCATGCTACCTTTGTTTCAGAGGTTATCAATACTGCTGCTGAACTACCCCTTCTAATCGATCATAAAGTCTAGATTTTAGCATCAATTTGCATTATTTTATGGAAAGCCACGTTCTCCACACTGCTGTACATGTGTACATAGGCGTTTTAAACCATGAGCCCACTACTGAATGCTTCTAACACGCTCTTTTACTTAGTGCCATGAGAAGATGTAACCTCCTATCTACATTTTCCATTTATTGCTTAAATAAGCTATGGCTTTTGTTGAATTGAGGAAAGTTTCTTCTGCCTCAGCCAGTCTGGCCCTACTCTTGGTATGCAAACTGTAGTGCTTTCTCTTCCCCATCAGTGCTTTCCGAAACGTTAAAAGCTAAAACCTTTTGTGCCTATGTCAATCATTCAGCGATGCATTGATTTTGCTAGAGAGAAGTAATATTCTTCCCAGAAAGGCAGACATATATTGCCCAACATCACAGCTTTGCTCTGTAGTTAGAAAGAATTAATTTCCTGGGGATAGGCAAATCAGCCAACACAGCCACCAGGCAGAGTTTGAAACACACCCACAAAGTGTAGACATCAATTCACAATTAGATAGATTCAATCAACAGTGAGATTGTTTTCTGGACTTCAGGCAAGGTTTAGATGAGATCCGGGCAGTGCAAGAAGAAAGGAAGAGCAGGAAGACATTTGGCCTCTGCTCTAATTAAGGGCTTTTTTCATTGCAAACCTGATTAAGTTTCTCTCGTGATTAATCCTGAAGTGCTAAAATACACAAAGCTGTGTAGATATTTGGCAGAAAAATATGGCATTAACAGTTACAATAACTCCATGAGGTTTAACAGCTGGAATATAAGAGCAATAAATAAACTAAATAAATGTAAATAAATCGGAGCACTTGGACGCTCCTGTGAAGAGGGGATCTTTGAAATGTCTGGGATGGACTGTGAGAAATGCATGGCCTGGAGGTTACTCTCATTCCAAGAAAACTCTCTTTGGGGGAAGATTTGCGAAATAAAACTAACTGCATGCAAAATATCCAGCTATAAGTCATGTCAGAAAGAAAAGGAGAATGGAAAAAGCTTATTAGACTGTAGCTGGGTGAAGAAAGCAATGTTTCCCTATGGTTTACTTCTACAAAGATGATGATTCAAATTTAACAAAAGATATTGAAGATTTTCTTGACTAAAATAGCTAAGAAAGAAGAGTCCTAATTAATGCTAAATTTGTAACACTCAGGGGAGTGTGTTACTCCTCTTATTAATTTGCTAATGGCGGAGTCCAAGGGACTCCCCGTTCCCACCATGGTACCATTAGCACTGCAAACCACAGGAAGATGTATTCGGCTACTGAAATGCAAGCAAAGGAGGAACCAACAAACACAACAAACCAACAAACACAACTTGCTTTACAACAATAAGTTAAAAAATTATGTTAGTCTGGCTGCTGAGGAAAATCCCAGAGGACTGCAATTGCCGCCCTGTCACCATGGCCAGCACCCTGGCACCCCAGTGCCAGCCGGCGGCGGAGGGAAGTGTGGTCTTCTGGGCTAGCCAACCCATGCCAAGCAAACGGTGAGGCCATGGCTACTTCCTAGCCCTTGGCATGCCGGCCCCATAAGCAACCATCTATATTTTTCATACCTGGAGATTGCCCAGTTTGGGAATCTTTGAGAGACTTTTACCAAAGCTTTTAATTCAGGTCAACTTTAGATTGTTATTCGAAGCATTAGTCTCTCCAGGAAAGTGCTCACGTGACAGCAGCGCTTGCCGCTCGTCACCTTTTGAGGGCTCCAGTTCGCGTTTGCTGATCTGTGTGCACAGGGGAGGGATTTCTCGCGTCGTGGCACCCTCAGCGCCGTTACGGTGATGCCACCACACGTGTGGGGAAGGGCAATGGCGCTGTGGTGGGTTGGCCAGATGCCCACCCAGCCGCTCTCTCACTCCCCCTCCTCAGCAAGTCGGGGAGAAAGTAAGGTGAAAAAGTTCTGGGGGTTGAGCTAAGACAGGG